GAGATGTCAAACAGCAATGACTTCCCTGGAGGCACACAGTCGCCCGTCTCAGCTCCCCACTTTTTTTGATCCTCCGTCATTTCTCCACCTGCCGGGCTTACAAATTTTACAGAGACCTCGGTAGGATCCAGTAGTACTAGAGTTACTAGTAGGTTGGATCTTGATATTCAGACCTTCTGATCTACCCAAATTGCTGTAGTTTATGAATTCCTATAGTTTATCCTTGTCATTTATGTGATATCGCCATGTTTGTTGCCTCTTTCTATCCGCTTCCCGTAAGTTCATTGAAACTAAACATGTGAAACCATTGGAACTATAGAACTATTGGCTACAAATCCGAGACCACAAGTCTTGAATATGATTTCTTGGTTACTGCGCATTGTTTCATGTTTTAAATGGATTGTGCTCAAAATTCATTGTATATGTGAGCACTTGTATATTAAACATTGCAAGAATAAAGATAAGAAATCAACCAAACTCAAAATTCACAAGCCAATGTCGCTCCCATTCGGGGTTCTGGGGGGTGCTCTGAGCATGTATGTATATATGTATATATGTATATATGTATATATGTATACGTGTATGTAAATATATTTACATTAATATATATATATATAGATACATACATACACGCTTTTATGCAACCTGAAAACGAAACACATCGGGACATAGATATTTCTGCTTGAATCTCCCGCAGGATCTGGCACCTTCGGTCTCGGCGGTCGCCTGGGTCGCCGTGGCCTCGCTGGCAGCGAAGCGCTTGGCGCGCGTCTCCATCCTAGGGCCATGTCCGATGAAAATGGCGGTTAAATGGGCTTCATATCGGTTATCATCCATGAATATCCATGAATATCCATGAAATATGGGTCATTAAACAGACATTCTTTTTATCATGAGATATTCTGGGACGTTAGTGCAGATTTGTGATCATTTCAGTAGGTTGCTATCAGCTGGGCGAAAAGAACCTTTTTTGGAATGTCAAATGACCCCAAGACATGGCTGTTTACTGGGTTTAACTCAATTACTATAATGTCTGTGTATAAATATATAATATAATATGTATAATTATATATCGTGTATATATATATATAATAATATAACATATATATATGTATTTACTATATAGATAGGGATATACCGATATAGCCATTCTATGTCTATGGGGACCCCGCCTGTCGCTGCCGATGCCGGTGACGACCCCGAAGCGCGCCAGGCGCTGCTTCCGCTTCTCGGCGTCGTCGGCCTCGAAACATGAGGATGGGATGGGATAGTTTGGAAGTGAACATATATAATTCATTATACTTATTATATGATATCCCCATCTTGGATAATGGGTGGGATTGAACAAATTGACATACATGAGACTTGGATAAAATTATACAATGGATGCTCAATATTGACATGCATTAATGAACATATGGTGATGCATCCAACTATATAACTGAGAAAAACAGGAGATGCATTCAACAGAAATGAACATGTCGCCGGATTGGCTTAAGGGATTGAAGCAACAAAGACATTCATTTGATGATTGATTGATGCTTGTGGGAAAGCTCAGAAACCATGGTCCATGTTCATCTCATCAAGTTTCCTGAATATTTTGCCACTCATTCTAAGGGGCCATCATGGCCATCCGATCTTTCGTTTGATCTGGGCCAGTGATAAAATCTCGGGAGGCTACTCCATGGGATATCGACCATGTATCGACCTGATCATCTTCCACCGTGCCACCATCCAAGTCGATGGCACCTCTTCTCCAATCGCTCCAATCTGACCTTGACACGGCGATGCTTCGGATGGGATGGCTGTCGATGTTCACTTGTCAATCACCGACATTGGGGTCATCTTTTTGGCGGGATTGTTGGTGCAGCCTAGGTCAAACTTTTGGGCGCCAGGTATTTCAACATCAGCGCTCCATCTTGTTCAAGCACCAAAATCATCCATTTTATCCAGCTCAAAGTATCTCAAAGTGGTGACAAATGGATGATTTGAATCTCATCAAATTCAAATGTCTTTACCAGAGAAATCCGGTTCAACAAATCCCCTAAAATCGAAAAAAAACACCTGTCCCAAGCCCTGAGGGAGTCGCCTCTGCCGAAGCGCTCTCCGCGCTTTGCACGTTTCTCGTCTTCGCCTCGTTGAGGCGAGGAGCCAAAGTGCCCTAACAGAAAAGGATGTTATCAATGAATAGTGGATATTGATATGGAGGTTTCCTACAATGGGGGTACCTCAATAGCTGGATGACTTATAAGGGAAACTCCCATTAAAATATGGATTTGTGCCTTTCATAGTCTTCAGCCATCCATTTTTTTGTTCATTTTGACCCCCAAAAAAATGCCGGGGAGGGTTTCTCGGAGGAATTATTATTCACGATCATGGGGATTTAATCAGCAGAAACTTGGGATTAAGCAGCCCATACCCGGCAGCTGGGTTCAAGGGAAAACAATGGAACACATAGTTATGCTGATTTTTTCTATGTGTTCAAGGGAAATCATCAGGA